GGCCCTGGGCGCGGAAGTGATGCCCGGCGTTGGCGATGACCTGCTCGTCGCTCAGGCGCCCGTAGGGCTGCTCGCGGCAGCGCGTCAGCACCTCCCACAGCGTCACCCCAAAGGCCCAGGCGTCGCTGGCCGGCGTGAAGGTGCCCTGCGTGGGGGCGGGGACTAGCATGGACACGCCCCCAACGGGCACGCCCATGCAGGCCCCGCCTACCCCCAGCCAACCGATCCCCGTGCTGCAGCCCAAATCCCCTTAACTCTGCCCAAATCTCCCTCAAATGCCCCTAAATCCCCTTAACTCCGCCCAATTCTGCCCCAATTCCCCTCAAATATCCCCAAATCCCCTTAACTCTGCCCAAATCTCCCTCAAATGCCCCTAAATCCCCTTAACTCCGCCCAATTCTGCCCCAATTCCCCTCAAATATCCCCAAATCCCCTTAACTCCGCCCAGTTCTGCCTCGATTCCCTTTTCCCACCCCAAATCCCCTTAACTCTGCCCAGTTCTGCCCGAATTCCCCACCCCAAATCCCTTAACTCTGCCCAGTTCTGCCCGAATTCCCCTCAAATATCCCCAAATCCCCTTAACTCCGCCCAGTTCTGCCTGAATTTCCTTTTCCAACCCCCAAATCCCCTTAACTCTGCCCAATTCTGCCCAAATTTCCTTTTCCAACCCCCAAACCGATTCCCCTTCCCTACCCCAAATCCCCTTAACTCCACCCATTTCTGCCTGAATTTCCTTTTCCAACCCCCAAATCCCCTTAACTCTGCCCAATTCTGCCCAAATTCCCCTCAAATATCCCCAAATCCCCTTAACTCCGCCCAGTTCTGCCTTGATTCCCTTTTCCCACCCCCAAATCCCCTTAACTCTGCCCAATTCTGCCCAAATTCCCCTCAAATATCCCCAAATCCCCTTAACTCCGCCCAGTTCTGCCTTGATTCCCTTTTCCCACCCCCAAATCCCCTTAACTCTGCCCATTTCTGCCTGAATTTCCTTTTCCAACCCCAAATCCCCTTAACTCTGCCCAAATCTACCTCAAATGCCCCTAAATCCCCCGCCCAATTCTGCCCCAATCCCCAAT